CATCCCCCCCTGTATCCCTACCCTGTTCTCGTTGTTACTGTCTTCCTTTCTCCGCGCATAACCTCCTGTCGCTTTTATCATGCCATCCTCGTCGATCATCCCCTATATACCGGTACTGCAACTTCTCTCACCGTCGACCAGCGGGAATGGTGGTGGTGGCTGTTTCCGTGGACGCTTCTCGTGCACCGGTGCACACAGACCGCCCACTGGCGACCCACAATACGCCGCTAATTCCCATAAAGCGACGGCCGATACGCAAATGGACAAACGTATGGACATACGCACAAGCGCCCCTGGCTTCTCGCTGACCGGCCAAACACCGTGCACCATACTACCCCCCTTCATACCCTTGTTCCATGATTCTAACCCGGCATTCGCAGCTCGCATATCGCGGATGGCTCTCCCGGCCCGCCTTTGAGGATTACGCTACCGTGTAATAACGGCACGGTCGCGCGGAAATGTGACGCGACGAGAGCAGCCGTCTGCTTAAGACGCATCGGTCCAACGATTTTCTCAGGGTGGATTTATGAACAGACAGGGGATGTGTCTGGACACGATCATATTTATATTTCAGCGTAGATTTAATGTTTTTTTTTTGGAAATGAGATTTGATTACTTTTATCCTTTTGTCGACACGATGAGAAATAAAACGCGACCGTGTTAGAGGAGAAATAAATTTTGTAAAAACACAATTTGACTGCGTTTTCTTATGAATATTAGTTGGCTCAATTAACCCCAGTTTATATAAATATTCACTATTAATTACCAGTAATAATATTTGCATAGCACTCAAGAGCTACATATATCAAAAGAGGGAAACACGGTAAATTATATACTTTGATGCGTGTGAAAAAGAACATCGTTAAATCGCTTCAAGTACTTCAAACGATTCAACTGTAATCATCGAAGAGCCAGATAGGCGTAAACAGAAATTTCACGCTCACCTGCAATCGTTTCGTGGACAGTCATCGGATATCTGTATACGAGGAAGGCCATACGTGTCCAACCACGTAAGAAGGAAGGTCGTGGAACTGGTGAATGAGAACCGATGAATGGATCGCATGTTGGAGGGTCCTTTTCAGAATACCCTCTCAAGGATGCGTTTTAATCGCCATCAACGAGACCCGAAGTGCACCGAATGCAACGTATCACCGATGTCCCAGGTAAGAATATTTCAAAAATTATTTATAATTTAATTTTTAACAAAATTGAAATAGTATCCTACTACATGTTTACTTTCATTCGCTTGAATCGTCTTTACTCACGTTCAATTGTTCCTACGAGGGTGGTGTATCCTCAACGACCCATCTTTCAAGCAACGAAAGTACATACACAAAAGCATCATGGAAACAATGCTTAATTTGACGATCTTGAGGAGCAGTAAGGTCGAAGAATCTGACGGGTGGTTTCAGCCAGCAAGAGTCCCTGGGGCGGATAAATAAAAGAGGAGCAATCGTCGGGAGCGGTGCATCGGCCACAGTGCACCGGGTCTGCACGGTCGAGCCACTGGGCGTGACAATATGCTTCTGCACAGGTGCACCGTCGAAGGTATAGGTAGGTTGCCGGAGGCGCCTTAGGAGAGAGAGACGAGGCGTTCGCCGCCCACGCTCGATCGTCCGGCTCGCTCGTGGAGAAAGACAGGAAGAGAGAAAGGTGGTAGGAAGGAAGGTAAGAAGGAACGAAGAACGTGGCTGGCGTACAGCGAGGAAAAGGAGCGATAAAAGAAGAGAGAGAAGCTGAAAGCGTAGACGAAGACGATGTGTGCGTACGAACGGGTACGTGGTCGCACACCTGTGCCAATGCAGCATGGCATAGAGTCGCATAACAGGTGGAAAGGTAAAAGAGAGAAAGAGAAAAAGGGGGAGAGAGCGAGAGAGGGGAACAGAGGAGAGGGAGATCCCCACTCGACCCCGAGTCTGCCAACTCGAACATTACTATACGCCCTCCGGGACCAGAGAGGAGGAGAACGTTCAGACTACCGCCTTCCTCCTACGTTCTCTCTCTCTTCCTTTCCCTCGCTCCCCCAGACCGAACCCTCTCCTTTCCTTCACGGTCGCACTTCCGTTTTAACGTCAGCTAACTCTCGAGGCGGTGGCTGCCGCGCAAACGCCACCGACAAATGCGTTTTCACTCGATGCCGATGAAATGGCCGACGAGAAAACGTTCTCCACCCTTGACAGCCTCGACGCACGACGACGAGTTCGCCAGCGACCACCGGTTCGACCAACAACCTTCTTCGTCCTCTATAAAGATCACTTATTAGAGTACTATAATTAGTATTCTAGGCGTAGAAGAAGTTATTGCAAACAAATCGTTTGTTTGTATCGATAAAAACAGAAATTAACCCCAGATTCTTCGAATTAAATTAATGCAACTGTTCGACTACTTGAAAATTGTTACCACTCTTCATCTATCGATTCCACGTTCCTCTGGATATGTGAAATAGCGTTCAGGTATCCGGTGCTCAACGGCTGAACGCGTGTTTGCTTAAACGCGTTCGTAGAATTCCGCCGCGAGGTGAATTTAGCGGGACATCGGAAGGGGCGGAGAGGAGCCGTCTGTGCAGCACGTAAATGACTGGCATAATAACGGTAATACAACAGGTATTATCTGCACGCGCTCGCATTTTTGCGGATAGACAGGTTTCTCGGCTCTCTAGCTAGCGATTCCATCGAGAGGCGATGCTGTTTCGTTTCCACGCGATGACCCGCGTCTTCTCAGGTCGCCGCGAACCATCCAAGTCATCGCGATATCGTCTCAGATAGGATCGTCGATCGAACGTCCTATCGTTCACGCATTGTTCGCGTACTATCCTCTTCGAATCGTCTTTGCGATCACCTAACGTTTCCGCGAGACGATTCACCTTTACTCGACGAGATACCGCGAGGAATGTGCGCCGTTATTCAGACATTTCGCACCGTAACGCGTGCTTTCCAAGTAGAATTATTTTATTGAAAGTTTGCGAAAAATTAATTTCAATATTAAGAAAACGTATCGAGAAAATTTTTAATAATTATTCTGCCACGCGTGATTATTTCCACTGTGTCAGTCAACGCGTTAATTACTTCTCGCGACGCGTGTTTCCACGCGAATGTGGTTTCAATCTGCTCCAAATTCGTAACGAGCTGATTCGCGCGAGTATGCTCAAAGAACAGTGGCTCGACAGAAATTCAAAGAATTCAGATGCAGATTTCAGAAACTCGACTCGAAGAGGTTTCCTTGTTCGTGTCGTTTCGTTGAGTAGCATGGAATGTTTCAGTGGATACAATTTGGAGCACGAGAGAATTTTAGCTGTCTCTTACGACGATTATTTTTATTCGAAAAGAGCAACTGATGAAACTGTTAAAGGATACTAAGAATGAATTTTGTAAGCTAATGCTTCGAGCTTTTATTATTTTTTTTTCAAACACCAGTAGATGGAATTCAAATTCTTTTTAGTTTCTCAATTTACTGATTATTCGATTAAATCACTTCCGTGTCAACGTGTTAATTCAATGTTGAATAACATCTTTTCATTAGTTTGTTCATTATCGTTATCGAATGTAAATGAAACTTACACTGATGAATGTAAATGAGATTAACCGACAAGAAGCTAATGCGTTCATTACGAGATCATCTGTTTAATTACTGATACACTGGCTGTACAAGGTATTAGCTACAGCACGCGATTTGCAAATTATACTTCTGTAATACGGTATGAGCAGGCAAATTATTTTTTAATCAGCAATAAATGATATTTATCCTTTTTTCATAATAGGTATGCAATTTGTTAAAACATTATGGAAAATCTTTTATAGTCTTTTAAGTTTATAATACATGGTTCTGAAATACTCCGTATAATTGTTGAGATTGTTCCTTTCTGCACGCGAATCAGCATTATAAACAGAATCTGATCGTTATCGTTCTTTCGTTAGAGTCGGAGGATCGGTAAGTACGCGTTTTCCCCTCCCCTTTATGCGAGACTAACGATCGCGTTTAGCGAAACAGTACACGAAGATAATTAAGTTTAATTATATACAGGATACCATGGAGGTATAATTGTGGTGCCTTTAAATCGACGATATTTGTTTAGCTACTGCACGCAGTAAATAAATCTATCCTGAATCTTCTTTTTATTAATAAGCGTCACACATGAACAATATACGAGGCGCTTTAAACTCAAAGATTTTTAGCTGACACGGAAATAAATTTTACATATTAAAGTATAACAAATAAGGGAAACCACGATTCAATATTCTATTAAATTTTAAACATTAAAATATAACAAATTAGGAAAACTACGATCCAATATTTAATAGGATAAACTTCGAAAAGGAAATTTTGTGTGTCGGGTCAGAAGGGTTAATTTCCATGTTCGATAAGGTAACAAAGCTTGTATGCTAATGATATCCACGGTTTGTATACAACCGTGTACGTTCAATAGCTAAGCTAAACGCGGATTGGGAACGGGATTGATCACCGGACTAAGAAGATTAACGGATCCCGCGGTACTGAAATAAACGTCACGGTGTAACGGTTAAGTTGGATCACGGAACGGCTTAACAGTACGAGACAAATTATCAGCTATTGATAGCTCCTTACCGATCTCGGCAAATTCGTGTCCGCCAATCTATAAATTTAGAACCTCCCCTACCTCGAGCCATTGAATCGATAAATCTCACGTAATACCCGAATATCGTTAGCTCGTCACGTCACGCGTACATTTGAATTTGTATCGATGTTATTAGCTTGCCAACCCTGCTGTCTCAGACAATCAATTTCTCCGTTGGCCTCGATTAGCCGAAAATAATTCGCTGCTAAACCGTGTTAACTTCATCGATAGAACCATGACCCGCGTAAAATCGACCCGTTCGAACGGGTCACGCGATTACAGTTTACATGTTTACAACAAAATTAATTGTCGCACACTTACAGTTTATGGTATTAAATAAAAGGAAAGAAACGAAAACGATAACGTTCCGAAAGAATAAAGAAAGGAAAACACAATGATGTTATCCTACCTTCGTCTGATCTTGCTGTTGCAGCAATTGTTCCCTGAGCAGCTGCAGCTGCAGGATCATCTCGGATAGCGTTCGTTCCTTCTCCGCGAAGCTTTCCGCGCATAGGACCCTGTGCAATGCCGAGGCACCATCCTGTTGAACTTGTCCTTCCGTGTTCTGCATCCTTCCGGAGGCTGGGGGTGAGGGTGGCACGCTATTCGGCACGCTGGCGACGCCTCCGCTGCAACGTACACCATTGGACCACGGTCAATTACGTTCTGGTATCGTGTACACGAGAAGGGAAGCCACCCCTCTCGTTCATCCCTGTCATTTGTACACGACACAGTGGCGGAGAAAGCTTGCGCTGGATTGTAGATAGATCAACCACGTACATGTATATAACACACCGACTTACATTTATATTTTTGTATACTTATTTGAAAAATAAAATGTTATATACATATTTTTGATTTCACGTTCATTTCACCTTGAAAATCCCCACAAAATAATAAAAATACTCAGGTGTTCCGTTTCAAGTGATTCACCCTGTATCGAGAGGGGTGCGGTGGGGTAAAGATGGTAAGGGTACCGGCTATATTCCCGCGCGAGCAAGAGTTTCCAGCAGCTCTGCTGGCATCTGGAAGGGAATAGTGGTGTGGTCGGGGTACATATAGGGCCGGGAGCCAGGTGAATAATAGATAGGGTCGCGGCCGCGCAATCACGGCAACCCGAGTGTTTGCCCCCGTGATGGGGTGTTCTCTGCTCCTTTCTACCCTTTTCTCTACGGTTTCACTCTAACGCACGCGTTTTCCAGCTCCTCGACTTTCTTTCTTCATCCTTGCTGCTCTACGCCCGCAGCTCTCGTTCCCCTTTTATACCCAGGAAAATGGACCACGAATAAGTGATACGGACGCATTGTGCGCTGACGAGCGAGCACGATGAGCGAACACGAAATCGCGAAGGACATCGTGAATCGAGGATAAGGATGAAACAGGCCGTGGCGGGCTTGAAAGAACACCGTCTTTCGGAATCTAGGGCAATATACGTGTCTGTCTGGGACACGTATGGCGCGTTTCTTATGGGTCAACGTTAAAGGGACCGAATTTTAAAGATGGTCCCTACCTCGTCGGACGCTACCTGTTTTCTAAGGAACTTGAACGAGATCGATGCAGTTTTAATAACTTCTATGTAATATTTGACATGCTTCTTTTGCGTAATGTGCAGGATAATTTCTTATTTACAAGAGACTGAACATTTCATCTACCGGAGGCCCATTAATAGGCTTTCGACAGTATCGGTTGTCGAAGAAAAATCAATTAATAACCTCTTCATTATTAGAAATTCACGTATAAATCATGTATTGATATAATGAAAGTTAAATGTACTTCAATTAAGAGGAAATAAGGTGGTAGTGCGTATCTGTTTTATTCATGGCCGGTGGATAATGTGTTAAGATTGGCGATTCAGATGATTCAGCTTGAATATTTGCGTAACGAGGAGCGAACGTATTTTCACACGAATAACATCGATTTTTCAACGGGAATGAGTTACGAACGAGACGGATGATAGAACAAGAGTAAAGCAGACGGAAAAATTGGCTGGCAAAGGGAAGAGGAGGCTGGTAAATGAATTCCGCATTGTGCTCGAGGAATTTAATTAGACGTTACAGTGTACACGTTTCTTGCGGCTGCCTCGTGGCGGAGAACAAAAATCGTGCATCGTGAAACCGTTACTTATCGAGGAACGTCTTTTATCCTTGCACGCTCATGAAAGACCCTTGCTGTGCGTGGCTTTCTTTCACGCGATAATAACGCGCGGTGGGCGGCTACAACATTCTATTCGCGCCTGTTGACCTCGGTATCAGCCAACAAAAGGCTCATTCTGTTTCTATTATCATCCCCTCTCCTTCGATGGATTTAGCTTTCCAAAAATAAACTGTCAACGCGACTCGCTACTTTTATCAGGCCAATTTTACAACGCATCGCTATTTTCGACCAACGCGCGGCTAAAAATAAACTCTTCTCGCCTAGTTTGACCGAACGAATGTTCAATAAAGCCTGAAGAATTTCCCGATACCTTGCAAATTAGCCTCCTGCGTCTCCAGGAAGAAACAGAAATTCTAGTTTTTGACAAAATAATGTTGTTTTGGTTCTGTCATGTCCGATCTAAATTTCAGCTCTCTCTTTCATTTTCCTTCTTTTTTTTTTCATTTATCATTAGTACGCGTTAAGTTTGTCGGAACATACATATCCATTATGAAATTGATAGTTTTATCTGTGGTGTGTACGCAGTTTATATCGTTAAATGCTCGCACACGCGTGGCACGCATGGTGGAAGTTGGCAAGCAGATATTAGTATCGAAAGTGGAGCGTGTAATAATAATGTACAAACATTTTTAAGCGCGTCACAATCGTTTTCATTCCATACGCGTCGTTATTTACCAAATTGCTGCTAGTAAGTGCCAAGTTTTTCGCACACGCCTGGTTCTACCCTGGATTCAACCAACTACCGTCGTTCGATGATTAAACAAACACCTTATTGTTTCCTACAGTTTTGCATTGATTTAGCGACACATTAAACGATTGGCGTTTATCCCGCGCGGCGTATAACTGTTCCGTTGTTCGATTCAATTAAAATGATCATCGAAGTATCTAAACCGAAGAACGATTACAACGTAACAACACTATTGTTACTGAGCAAAACAAATTTTAATCGCTATATGTATCGATTATAACACGGGACCTTGGTTGTTTTGACTTTAGGCTATCGAGTTATAAATTTCGTCTGAAGTGCAAAAGACTTCATTGAATTCGAAGATTCTCTCATAAATATGTAAAAGATGGAGAACGACTAAATGGATGATCATCGTAATACGTCGAAAACGATGATGTTCGTTGATCGTTATGAAGCGTGAAATTTGCAATCGAGCGTTAAACAAGTATTTTCGACGCGAGTGTCCCGTTGCAGAGGGGGTAAAAGCGTAGTGGTCGAATCCGGAATTGAATGTATTCCAATAAAAAACGGGTGAACGTCGAGCGTAAGTGGCGAGTTGTCGTACAGTTGGCTGAATTTTTGGAAGAATTTTGGCCCCGGTATTCGCTGGGCGTGGGCAGCGCGGAGTGACACAATTTTGCCAACTTCTACGCGGCTGCCAAGTTCATCGGTTCGCTGTCAACAATTGCTTCAAAATTACAATTGCTCGCTGGCGACGTATTATTCAAGGGCCTATGAGGGCGACTAGCCTGACGCTATTGTGCCCTCCTACGATTTATCACATGGTCTGTGCTTGCTCAGGGAAAGTGTTTACGAGAATGAGACATTTGGGCGACAGACGATGGTTAACGACTTTTAGTTACGAAGCCATCGAGTGTCGTGGGGAAGATTGTTTTGAAGGCCCGAGTTTCGAAAGCTAGGATAGCGATAAAATAAAGGATGAGAATAGGACTTGATCCTCGGAGGAGGTGGCCACGAAGTGGGAAAGGCAGGGGTGCCTTCTGGTAAGCGGATTGCGATGAACAGCGTTTACCTCAGAACCTTCAAAGCGAGAATTTCTAAAAAAGAACTCGGTAGTTTCTGTATTTCTAACAAGCTAATCGTATTAATCGTCACATAAATGATTCACAGTTCCCTGTTTATCGAGCTTCGATTATGTATAACTAGGTAATTGGAATTATAATGGAAGCAGAGTGATAAATTTTTGTAATGAACATTTCGCAAAATCGACCGCGATCCGTAATTAGCCACGTGCGGAATAAATCTTTACTCTGTAGTCTCGACTTTGTACATTGTATGAACGATTCAGTGGGAACAGGAAAATCTCCTTGGTTTCCATCATTTCGATACAAAGAATCAATTCATTGACGGAACTGATTACATAGAGCAATTATTATTACGTGACTGTGCGATATCGTTGAATATAGATTAATCGTCCGAGGCGATAATTTAAACACAGCCTCGATCTTTTGCATTGGTAATCTTTTCTTATTATTAAAAGTCGGATGATTCGAACAAAATATCACAAAAAAGAGGAAGAAGTCAGCAGTTAAATCTTTTCTTAGATCGTATCACGATTACTTTGAAAATGGCAGAAGAAACTTTAATGATTCCAGTATCGAATTTACGAATTTCCTTCTGTTTTGTCCTCTGTATCAGTAGCTCGGGGTGAATAACAACACGGACCGCTTAAATTTGGCCCCGCGAGTGCTCCACAAAAGCGTCCATTGTTCGAAGAACGACAAGATCCACAGATTCCAGTCGTAAACCGACTCTTCGTTACCGAACAGATCCATCTGAGAAATACAAAGAGAGCGGGCGAAAAGGAAGTCGGAAGACGGGAGAGAGCCGGACAAAAAAACAAGGGGTCCACAGAGAGCCCGAAAATATCTGACTTCTCGGCTCGAGGACAAAGAAATGTGTTTGAAGAGACGATAAGAAATCGGATGACTCGACGTTTCATCCTGAAACCTAGTAAGTAGTTTTATGTTCGTGCCGGTTAAAAATCCCTTCTCGATGAAAACGTTAATGTATAATCTTTCGTGGTTCTTATATTTTGCACACGTAGAGAGATAAATAATTAGGGACTTCAAAATTTTTTCCACTGTCAACGCGCTTTTTACTCTACGTCTCCCTATAAATACCAAGGACCGTCCGGAAGATCGGCGACGCATGGCGTATCAACATGTTAGCCTTATAAGCCTAGTTAATTTTAAGCCTACTGTTAATTCTAAAACCCTGCCAGTATAGCGTTTCGAATCTGATTCATATTCGTATTTCATCGCAGGAAAGGTTTATCCAAAATTTGTATCACGTAACCAAGGCGACTCTTTAAACTACCAAAATACACGAGACATATTTAGCCGGCAATCGAAATCAAAGTCGACCAAGACTTTATAATTTTAATTCAGTCGATAGGCGATAATCGTTTTCGACCATACAAGAAGAGGCGAGAACCGATTTTGTGGTCTATATTTACCGGTTATGTAAAATGTACCGGCGACGATATCGTGGCTGGAAGACAACGACAGATTAAAACGCGACGATTGCAAAACGAATCCACGATCCCAAATGAAGCATAATATTCAGTCATTAAAAAGAGATACATTGCGTAACCGACGTCGTCGAACGATGTACGAACGATGTACGTGACACGTCACTTCGACTTCATCGCATTCTCGTAAGCCGAATCCGGGGAAACAGGAAGGAATACCCGCCAATGGAGGCACTCTCATTTCCTCTGGTTGACTAGTTACTTCCTGGCGCTGTTTAATTAATGGTCGTTCGGTATCGCGTTTGAATTTCAGAAGGGAAAACTGTAAACACGCGATACGCGGATTGCGGTTTCTACCCTCTTTTACGAATCAAAATTATAGCACAACTAAATTGACGTTAAATTTGACCAACTTAACATTAATTTTCAATGTCATAAACAATTTTGCGGCAAGTTTCTTTTTTACAAAAGTCAATCGATCCGAGGTTGTAGATTCACCCCCTAAAGCTATGAACATTAATTTTCTTACACCCTGTACAATTAAACATTTTCACTTCTGGCGTTTATATCGTTTACCATTTGAATCATAGTACCCAAAATGAACCCTGCAACCCCATAAAATCAGCTGAACACTAACCAGTGTGCGTTGTGGCCGGTCGGCGTGGAAGAGGGTGGTGGGCTTGTCCGCCTGTTGTTGCTGGTATCGTCCTGCAGCGACAACGACTCACTGTTCATCTTGCAGGTTAACCTCTTCAGCACGTCGTCCATGGATCTTTTGGTACTGGCTGTGGTGGCGTTACCACCGTTGCTGTTGTTATTATTCTGGGTGACGGTATTGTTGTTGTTGTGGTGAGGATGGTTCGGGTAGTAGGGGTCGACGGTTAAAGGGGTAGGCGGTGAACCACACTCGGAGGAACTGGCCGGTTCCACGACACCACCGGACGAAGACGATGTATTCGTGTGGTGATGATGATGGTGGTGGTGATGGTGATGATGATGGTGAGGATAGTGGTAAGGCGCTAGCGTTTCCTGACCGGGCAGAACGATCCTTTGTCCCTTGCTTGGTCGCAGGGAATTCGACGAGGGTGATGGCGAATCGCGAAGATCCGGTTCACTGGTGGTCGCCGGCGACGAACAGCCGGACGACTCGCAGTCGCCTCCTCTTTGATGAGGGTAACACTCCTCGATGTCGACGGGGGTGGTGGGACCCTCTTCACCGACGGCTACCTCGCCACCGGGACCACCGGTCACCGACGAGGTCGTATCCTCCTCCTCCTCGTTGGCGCCTATCACTGTACCCGTGCCTCCCCCGCCCTCCGATAGCTTCGTTGGTGGTGACTTCCTCTTTGAGGACATCCTCAATCTGAAAGCGAAACGGAAACAGGCCAGGTGAGATTCGTTGTTCGCGTCTCGAACTGCGTGCAATTAGGCTTCCTGTAGAGACAAAAGGAAACGCGCAGGAGGGAACATCACATCGCTTTATATTTTTAAGATCTCTCCTTAGAATTTTTCTAGGTTCTCCCGGGACCGAAGGTATTTGGTGGAAAGTTTCCCTCCCTCTGCATCTACCTTTAGCCAAAGGAAGCCTCCGTTGCATCCGAGTGTACAGGCGTACATTTAATTACTATTCTAATTCACCGATTATTACTCAAGAAACTTTGTTTCCACGTGTCGTATTCTTACGTAACGACCACAAAGTTACAATCGTATCACGCGACACACTGGAATTATCTCAGTTATTAGTTGTATGTATGAATCTCGTTACAATTCTTATAGCGTAGTATCACGATATCACGTGTCACGGTTAATGCTACACTAGAGATAAGTAGCTGTTCTTTTATGAATCAGTATGCGATCATTTCACGAAACTTTCATTCTTCCAATGATAATACATCTCGTTCAGCGAGGTGGAATTTCCATTGATTTCTCGTTATAGTAACATGTTCTCTTCTGCTTGCAAGGGTTAAAGGGTTAAATTCGATTCCTCGGTTAAGAGGAGTTACGAACAAGCAACTCTCCTGATCGACTCCTTACCGGTGACCCTCGACCATCCTATATATCGAAATTCCACGTCTAAACTCTATCTCGCGTTAATTTACCGACTAGCCGGACTGCTCGCTCATTTCCGTCTCCAAATTACCAAATCTAAATCTAAATCGCTCGCGATCTCCGAGCTGTCGGTGCCCGCGAAACGGATTATGTAATCGAACACGAGGCGCAATAATCAAGCCTGATTATTAAACGAGAATTATTGTTGTGCGAGCGTGTCGTAACGCTTTTTCCATCAATCGAGGAGAATCGTGGGCGAGGGACGTGGCGAGGAACGAGGCGAATACACGCGGACGATTATCTTCGGCTTCTGGCGAAGCCGAGCGGAGGTTGCGAGGTCATCCAGAAAGCTGAACGAGTCGATCGACACTGTCTCCGAAATCACAGAAGCCTCGAGAGGTCGTCAATTTAATTATTTATTTATTTACGAGTTTCAACCCTTCGTAGATTCGAAGCTCGTCTTTTGATTCTGCGTACTGAATTCTTTTCAACAAATTTTGATATCCGAATGCACAGAGATCTATGCGCGTTTATGTTATGAAATTGAATAAAAAGTCCTGTCCAAAGGAAGAGTATTATTTCTGTGATCGATACCGGCATGGAAACGGAGATACGCTCGATGAAACCGCGAGATGACAGCCTATCAATTTACTTATTAAACCTACTGTTCTTGCTTTCTGTCCTTCTGCGTCAGAGTATAAATTTGCAGCTTCGTGGTTCCAGAGAATCAAACTTCGGTAGCAATTTTTCTGAGAAAATTGTTCTCTTCAATGAAATTTATTATTCAAACAATTTCTAGTGATTACTGATTCTAATACGTTTCTCTTTTTCTTGGAATCTGAGTGTTGAAATTGCTGAGGAGAATAATTTTCTCACTGTTATCGTTCGGAATGCATATCGTTATCGTTACACTGTTGTCTCTGTTGTCACTAGAAAATGCATGCAATTTTCTTGTCTCAGAAAAATGGAATAACTGGTGGAATTAATTCAATCCAGAGATCAAATGAATACACAGACTGGATCAGTTTTCACGATAAAAAGAGTAATCTGAGAATCTACTGGTTTATGAGATTTACTGTGACTCGTGTTTTACGTATATTTTGAGAAAAAAAGTAGAATAATTAAGCTTTAAATATTTATCCTAAACTGGTTCAATCTGGAAATGAAATAATGTCTAAGGAATTTTTTCCTGAACGAAGGCCGCATCACTATCTATCGACTCGTACTACTATTTCTCATTTTTCATATCGATAGAATAATATATGCGCGGTGTTCTTGTTAGTAGAAATACTTTGTAAAATATGTGAAACCAGTTTTCCACATAAAATCCACGATATAAGTTGTCACTATTACTTTACATTGTTGCCGTTAACAAAAAAGCAAATCTCAACATTCCTGTTTCTTAGAAAGCGAAATATTTCATAAAATTATATGCACTCTGAACGTCTGTTATCAACAGTTACCATCTAGAGAGGAAGTAGTTTTTGGGATCAAACCAGTTTCTCAGCTGAAAGTTACTGAGAAAGCTACTGTTTCATGTAAAATGAGGTTTCTCAGCTTTAGATTTCTATCTGTACTACTCAGAGCAAATTTACTGCCATATTAGACGCTGCTACAACTGTTTAAGAAAGATTTATTACAATCGTAAACATTTTCATAGTGTGTAAATAATTAAAACTTAAAAGGGTAATGAAAAACAGATGACTGTATTGAATTTCAATTGTCGCTATCTGACAATTAGTGGACTACGTTAATTTCATACATAATCGAATAATTAATGAAAAAAAAGAAGAAGGAAGGAAACTTTAAATAATAATAACACTTTATCTAGTGGAAACTAATTAATAGACCTTTTGGTTTAGGTTTTTTTAAAAATCAATTAATAAACTTTTGATTATTACAAATTCACATATAACTCAGCTGAAATAATAAAAGTTAAATGTACTTTAATTAAGAGGAAATTGAAAAGGTAACAGTGCTTATCTATTTTATTTATGGCTTGTGGCTAATGTATTAATATTAAACTACAAATGTAGAGCATCTAGAAGTTTAACTCTTCAACAGTAGAGCCTGGGTCAATCGTGACCTAAATTTACAAAACATTTACAAGAATATTAACCTAAAGTTAAATATATAATTTCTAAAGGAACAATGTAAAATTTAAAAGATGAAAATGATATAAAATATAAAATTAAATAAAAATCGTGACTCTCTCCATAAACATCGTGTTACATGATGTCAAAAGACCTATTGTTTGAAATATCGCGAATAATAATTTCGAACCTAATAATTTCAAACGGATTATAGTTCGAACCTAATCCGTAATCTGCGATTCTTTTCCGATAGTCGATTCATCGTCAAAACACGGCTGCTTTATTGAGAGCCGGCTTTTTCGAGTGCAACACATGCGCGGACTCGCGAAAGGAAGCACGTGTTCATCGCGCCCAATGGTCGCGGGGACACTCGTGTGCACGAATACACGCGTAACGCAGCATGCCGCCTGTGTCCTCGCGAAAAAATACGCTCGGTCGAGCGTGCACGACGAGCGGGAAATAGAAAGAAGCGCATTATGACGCAATGACGATCGATTCATCGAGAAAACGGCAGAAAATTATTGATTATTTAACACGTTCAACGCCGCGTGAGTCACTGTCGGACCACGATGTTTATTCAAATCATAAGTGACTTTTTGCTATAGCTTCGATAGAAACGGCGAAAAAGCGAGATGAGAGCGTACCAAATAAATGTAATCTCATTACAGTTTTTCTATAATTGGAATAGAATTTTTCTATGCAGGAAATGTGAAAAATTTTTCAATGAAGAGATTAAAATAAGTGAGTTTTGCTAAAGTAATTCAGTCTAGTGAAATAACACGTTGATTGGCACAGTAGAAATACGCGTATGTGGCACGGCATACGGTAATCTGAATTATAAAAGACATTAAAGAGACTTTCAACGCTTTTTCTAAATAATAGAATAGTGTAGAATGTAATGTAGAAACACTATAGTAATCAAAATAGAGAAAAGAAAGGACAAGAGACAGAATGATCAAGCTATGTCGTGATTTGCTCTTTAATAATTTGGACAGATAATGGTTGAAAGTCCATGGTTACCTCGGTGACCCCTCGCATTTGATAATCCCATACGCCAAATTTCTCATCTGATCGATCAGTTTGTTAATCATCCAGCAGCAAAAAATATGATTTTCCCTAATAATAGAAATCTTTTATGCATCATAAGTAATCGTTTTCATTTGTCAGTGTATACTGTTGAGAAAGGCACTTTTTTCTTTTTTCTTAAATGAAGAATCAATTGCGTAAGCGAACACGTTCTTAGCTTGGATGTCCTTCGTTTTAGCCTTTGCCTCTTCAGATAAGATACGTAGCGAAAGCCATAGTACTAATTCAGAAGCTTCAAACTTCTGAAGATTCGTGCAATTATAAATCAGCAAACTTTCTAAATTTTTATGAAAACAGAAACAAGGATAAAAATATTGTTAGCTGTATAATTACACTTTCACGCATTAATTTATCCAATATCCTCGAAATGAAATGGAATTAAAAGAAACTACTCGTAACTCAGTTGCAGGTAACAAAGTGGAATCCTATTTAGAATAATGTTGATCGTTTAGGCAGACACTTTGAGGAGGAAGGTGCTGCCTTGAATCGTAAAACAGATGCGGCAAATTTGAGAGAAGAACAGTCGCTCAGTCCGTGTGAAATTATGCTTGGTAGATAAATTTCATGGGGTGGCCGAGGTTCTATCATTGTCACGTTGTGGGCTGGTTGCAGCGTTTACATTGTCTAAGCGTGACAAACGAAGAGCGCGTTCCAGATTTCGCTCGGTACACTCGACATCTTTGCCCGCGAGAGGCAAGTAATGTATTTCAGTGGGAAGACGGTAAGGGATAGAGGAAGAGAGTTCACGCGTGGCTTAATTGCTTCGCGAAACGCAGATCTATGCCTAGCCAGTGTCTAGGAGGCGGAACGAAAACACAGACAAACGGAGAAAGCATATTTTTAACCGCCAGATGCTGGTCGAGGACCGGTGACTGAAATCACAGAGGAAAAACGAAGAAAAAGCAACGATGAGAGGAACCGCGCCGACAATGGATGATTTTCCTTCCACCGAACTCGAGGATGAAATAAATCAGTACCGTCAGATGAAATAAAATATCTCACAGAGACACGTTTTGTAAATAAAAGTGTCCATCTTACGAATCTAAATAAATAAATCAGTCAATTTCAGTTCCCTTCCCTTCCACTTCCGGCACCCTTTGTTTTCCTTGCGCGCGGTGCTGATCAATTCCAGCGG